AGAAGTACCAGCAGAACTTTTGAAGGCAGACATAAAAAAAAAAAAAATCAAGCAGAGTCTGCCTGTCCCAAAACAACTGTTGTTATCAGTTCTGGCTGCCTTGCTTGGCCTTGAATAGACCAACTATCTCAAATTCTCCCAGATGTTATGTGAATAATGATGTTCTGCTGCTCCCCCCCCCCCCCCTACACCCCCCCAAGGACATCTGTGTGCCTTATAAGAATTGTGCTGCTGATAGACACTGTACCATCATATTAGAACTTTGGAACTTTCTGGTAATGTCCATGGACAACTCACCACTTTTGTTGACCTCCTCATGCATAAATGTACTATGATGTCACTGTATGTTGCTGTTTATGTTGTAAAGTCTTTATTGAATCTTTTACACTGTGCCCTGACCAGGACATGGTGTGAGATATAATTTTTTTTACTTCCTCCACCCTGGTGTTCTCTTTTCCTCATCTACTTTGTATGTTTGTATGTAACAGGTCTCTCTTGTAAATGAGTCCTTTAGGCTCAGTGGGAACTAACCTGTATAAAGAAAAGTTGAATGAACGAATGAACAAATTATTGAATTTCATTCACATAACCACAGTGGCCTGTCTGTGAGTCAGACTAACAGTGACCCTAACAAATCCCTGTTGTGAGAGGTGTCAGGGCAATCTGCATACAGAACACCTCAGTTTTATAACTCAAAACTCCACACTGTCTTTCTGTGAATAGAGAAAGCTCCTCTGATGAGAAGCTTAACATCTTCATTTACAAAATAAATTCCAATTGTTTTTGTCTTGAATTGTTTTTTTTTTTTCATGTCCTAGATAACTGAGAATCTTAACCAGCATGAAGACTTTCGATAAATTACCCAAGGTTGCTCCATCAACAGTCAAGTTCCAACAGTTTCTGTCCTGAATCAGTTTAAGCAACTGGACACCTCAGACCACTCACCTGTGCTGACAGGGAAATTGGGAATGTCCTGATACCTGAAGGTCTGTTTGTTGGTGGCTCCATCAGCCAGCAGTCCGAGTCCTGATCCACAGATCACTGCCACCTTTGGACGGTGATTTGTCTGGTGCAGCAGCCACTCAGTGGTCAGTTTGTAGTCATCAAAGGAGCAGCAGCTGAGACCAAATGGGTACAGAGAACACACAAAATACATATTTGTCAGAAAATTTTTGTTCAGTGGTTATGTTATTTTATTATGGCTGAGAACATTCGTCCCCTCTGCCATAAGAACAAGAAGCTCGGTTTTCTCCCAAAACAGCCAAAATGTCTCCCAAAACATCTCTGCCCGTGAACCATATGTTTGTGTTGTGTGTAAGAAGACTACAGCTGGCTTCAAGGACATACCCTGAACTAAATTGAACTCTGAGCTGAGAGGGATATAAAAGTGAGGAGATAACGCAGCTCGCAGCTCATTTCTGTGGCACTTTTTCATGCATATATATTTATGATACATTTATGTATGTTTATATATGTTTATGCATGTAACAATCCATCCATCCTATCTTCCGCTTATTCCGAAGTTGGGTTGTGGGGGCAGCAGCTTGAGCAGGTAGGTCCAGACATCTCTTTCCACAGCCATCTCTTCCAGCTCTTCTGAGAGGAACCCCAAAGCATTCCCAGGCCAAGCAACAGACAGTTTCTCCATCATATCCTGGGTGTTTCCCGCGGTCTCCTCCAAGTCAGACATGAGGATGGAGAACCATTAAAGGAGATGTAAATTGGGAGTTGGGGCTGCCGCCCAAACATCAATTCATAGGCCTGTCACCTCACTTTTGGTGCAATTGTAGACATGGGTTAGTGGTTTCACAAAGTCGCGCCAATGACTTTTATCTTTGTTCTTCAGGGTTCCGAGCATAGCTCGAGCAGCCAAACGTCAATGCAGGAAAGCCAAACGTAAATAGAAGAAGGACAAACTTCACGTTTCTTTTATCATGCTAAAATCATGTTACAAAGAGTACCAGGCCACCGTTAAATCAGAAAAAAACAAATATTTCTCCCAAATCATCGCCTCCAACAGCCACAATCCCCACGTTCTTTTCAACACCATTAACTCAATTTTAACCGTGCCTCAGTCTGCCAACAGGGAGGTCTGCAGTTACGTGTGAGGACTTTGCCAGTTTCTTTTTTTTTTTTTTTTTCTGTGTGAGCTCAGTTTAAGTGTAGAAACATTGTGAAGTGTTTCAATGAACTTATCATCATCGCTCAATTTATTTTATTTTTTTTTAAAGAAAGAGAAGAAAGAAGAATAAATAAATAATAAAAGAGAAGAAGATAAGACGAGAGACCACCATGACAAAACAACATGCACAGCACAAT